ATTTAATGATAATAGTCGTATTAACTGTGGTGACAATAATGGCAATATGAAATATTAGAAGCCCAACAATAAAGCCAAAATTAAGATTCTACACAGCGTTTAAATGTTTGCATGTGGGTGCTAATTCTTTCTTGTGTAAACCAGGGGCGTCAATTGCCCCGCCCCCCTTTCCAGACTCTGCCCCACCCCCAAGTCTTATTTGCACCCTCCACAAGGGCCACAGTCCCACATTTTTTTTCTGAAATTAGATCTACATAGCTCTGATTTAAACGAAATTGCCCCTAGAATCTCTCTCTCTCTCTCTCACTGGAAGACTCGCAGCGCCCCAGAAAATGAATGTGCTCGCTTCACTCGCCAACCGTGCTGTGAAAAAGCGGAAATGACGACTCTGGTTTCAATGACTGCTTATAAATGACAGACAGACAGACAGAAACAAGAAAGTAGAGAGAGAGAGACCCATCACTTTGTTTACAGAAAGAACGACCGAGAAAAACGTATTTCATGGGATTTTGATTTTATTTTGTTTCGGTTATAAAAAGTGGACTCTTCTTATTTTTTTACGTGTTTTTGTTTATTTTTATATTGTTCTTAAATTGAAAGTTGTAGCAATAGAGATAAACATGTGCAAAATGAATGAATGATGAAGGGGAAAAACACTCCGATAGACGTAAAGAAGAGCATTAATGATGAAGCAATGTGGTTTTGTGAGTGATACAATTGAAGTGGTATTCTTGTCGAATCGAATCATGTTCACAGATTTTTCATCAGCTGGATATTTGACTAGGACAATTAAGTCTGATTTACCAAAGTGGGAAGGGGCAAAAGGAGAGCATGGGTTTAGATTGGTAATGCAATTGAATAAGGATTAAACTGGGGGATACAAAATAAAACAATAAATACAAGGTTTAACTTGGTGAAAAAATGATAATCATAAGCATGAAGATGACTGTATGGTCTGTCCTTACATGTTAGTAAATATGGTTGACGATGCACTGCAATTGTTACTGTTATGTGAAACTGTATCTTTTTTCTTCATATAAATTCATTTGTGTTGCATAACCTTACTGAATAAGAAAGTATTAGGAAAAGATATTACATCTTTTGGTTATTAGCACTTGTAATGAAAGAAGGACAGTACGTTGTGTTCTCAGTAGGCTTGTATATTAACATCAGGAACAAATTAACGTTATTATTGTATTCCTTCTGCGATTTTAAAAGTACGATTAGTAATAAACTTTGTATGACATACGAAGTTGGAAATAATGTAGAAATCTTAAGATACAAAGATAGTCATTGAAATTAATGAATCATTAAGGCTTCAGGAAAAGTAATAAAAAAATAGTCGTAATTTGCCTAATATGATGCACAGTCTTGTGGACTTTAAGACAATGGTAAAAAAGAAAAGAAAAAAAAAATATATATATATCAAGATTTTCCACTAGTTGCGTAGGCTTTGTGTGCGTGAGAATTTAGTAATACCTATGTGAAGATAAGAAAAAGATGAAATGATGATAAGACATTGACAGGGAATGGTAAATGTGAAGAACGAAGTGAAAAATAGAAATGACGATAATGAGAATTGATATGAATATTGATGAAATAAAAGCAAAAATAACAAAACAAAAAGAACGAATTTAATGATAGTAATAGCAGTACTTGTGATGATGATCATGGTGATATGAAATAGAAACTCAAAAATAGAGGCAAAACCATATACATATTTACATTAAAAAATACATAGCGACTATCTTTTATGTGTGTCTCTCTCTCTCTCTCTCTCTCTCTCTCTCTCTCTCTCTCTTCTCTCTCTCTCTCTCTCTCTCTCTCCTCTCTCTCTCTCTCTTCTCTCTCTCTCTCTCTCTCTCTCTCTCTCTCTCTCTCTCTCTCTCTCTCTCTCTCTCTCTCTCTCTCTCTCTCTCTCTTCTCTCTCTCTCTCTCTCTCTCTCTCTCTCTCTCTCTCTCTCTCTCTCTCTAAATGAAGGCCTATAAAGAAAAGAGAAAGAGAAAGAATAGAAAAGAGAGAAATCCATCATTGTTTGTTTAATGCTCGTATGCATATGCAAACCGCAGAACCATACTTGTGTAACATGTTTGTGAAATGTGAAAATAATGATAATAAGAATGTGAGACTGAGATCATATCTTCATTCATTTGTAGCTATAACCGCATTGAATTTCAGTGACATGTAGAAATGGCAGAAGAGAATATAGAAGAGAGAAGCTGAGTAATTAAAAAGGAATAGAAGTAAAAAAAAAGGTATAGAAGTAGAAAAAAAGGAATAGAAGTAAAAAAAATCATTATCATTGGTTGTAACTCAATGAACTCGCTGTTCTCCATTTTTCCTTCCAAAATGAAAACCAAAGTTTGGTACGAGAATAGTGCATTATGTTTCACGTTCGAAATTTAACAAATAACGAAATGGTAACCAACAAGCCCTATTCTGATAAATGAGGTATGTCCTCAGTAGATTAGTATATTAAGGGTAATTTTTTCTTACAATTAGGCGCCGACTTGATGCATAATACTTCGAAAAAAAAAAAAAAAAAAAAAAAAAAAAAAAAAAAAAAATATATATAATATATATATATATATATATATATATATATATAATATATATATATATATATATATATATGTGTGTGTGTGTGTGTGTGTGTGTGTTTGTGAGTGTGTGTGTGTGTGTGTGTTTCTGTAGGCGCATCTTTTACTGCAAGACATTTCAAGATTCTTGTAAATTTGAAAGTTCTTGCTCATATTTGTCTTAGACGGAACTCCGTGGTCAGATATCTTTGTCTGGTTTCGTACC